GACGGCGTCGTCTTCAGCCTGGGGGGGCTGCAGCAGCCGGGGCCCCACAACTTCTACTCCCGTCCCCACTTTGTCAACACCGTGGAAATGTTCGACCCGGCGCAGGGTGAGCTCCGTGTCCCTGGGTGGGGTGGGAGCATTCCCTGCAGGTCCAGGATGCCTCCCTGGGTCTCGGGGAGGCATGTCCGTGCTCGAGGCTCACAGTTCATCCAGGCTCTGAGCATCAGCCACTTGTGCCCGTGGTGAGTCCTGCCCTGCACTCTGTTGCCCCGGGGAGCCGTTAGCCTGGAGGTGTCCTGGCCTCGGTGAGCAGCGAGGAGCCCCAGGGAGTGATGCTCAGACCCTCTCACCCCCAGGTGCGTGGAGCAAGCCAAGCCGTGCTGTCCGGATGAGGGAGAAGAGAGCCGACTTCGTGGCTGGCTGCCTGGGAGGAAGAGTGGTGGCTGTGGGTGGCCTTGGTAAGGCTGGGGGGAGGCGTGTGGCCATGTTCCCGTCCTTTGTGGCACCTGTGCAGTGATGGGGAGGTCGGCTCTGCAAAACCATGGGGGTACTGCAACACCATCTGCAGCCGTGTCCCCCCCCCCGAGTGCGGGGAGGACCCTGCTGCCGGGCCCCCCGGGCTGCCCCCACTGAGCCGCTTGCCCCTGTTGCCCCCCAGCCAGGCTTTCCCCAGCTCATGTGCAGCATGCCGGGCTCGCCCAGCCCACGCTTGCTCAGCCTTGCAGCACAGGGCTGCAGCACCGCGTCCCCCTCCCAAGAGAGCTGGGGAAAGGGCTGCCAGACCCCGCTGAGCTCGCCTGGGGTGAGCCGGACCTCCTGCCACAGGGCAGGAGGAGGGGATGGGGAAGGCAAGCGGTGCTGGTGGGATCCCTGCAGCGTGGCGTTGCTTCTGAGTGCTGCTGGGGCTGGAGCTGCCCTCCTTTATCCCGCGGTGGTGGCTGCGGGGTGCTGGCAGAGGGGCAGAGCCCACAGTGTGGCATTGGTGCTGGCAGCCCTCCCCCTGGGAAAGCTGGTAAACCCCCTTGGGC